TGTGTGTATATATATATATATATCATTATTGTGAAAAATTGCATTGCTTTCTAATATATATATTAGAAAGCAATGCAATTTTTCACAATAATGATATATATATATATATACACACACTGTATATATGGATGGGACTAGAGTGGGGTGAGTATCGGTACCCACCCTGAAATAATTTGTTTGAGTCTGTTTGTATTGACCATTATTAGAGATTTCTTTAAATATGAATTATTTGTTTGCCAAGTAATTATATGTTCTCTCTAAACTTTTTTGTTTTTTTTTTTTTTACTGTAAATTGATTCTAAATTTTAAAAGTTAGTTTGTATAATGATAAAATATACAGATAACATCCACCTCACTAAAGCAATGTTCTGCCCCACCTCTGCCCTCCCAGAATGAAAATGCTAATGCCATTACTGATATTATGTGCTTTCAGGTTTATTATTGTTATTTATAAATTTCATTTTGTAAATAAATTAGGAATGACTTTGTTTGCAAACCAGTATATTATTTTTTATTAATTTTTATATTTTAATATCTATTAAGAAAATAGATTTTTATATTGCATTAATTCATTCATTTTAATCAAGAAATCAATCAAATTTATTTTATAAATACCTGTATTTAAATTTTATAAATATTTAAATACTATTTTACACTTTCTTTGATCTCTAAAATTGTTTCAGATCTTATCTTAAATGTATTCAAATATATACAGCAAATAAATGACTTGATTCAGTATGTTATTTATGTGTTTATCTTGGTAAAAATCCTTATACTCAATGATTATGATAAATTTAAATACATTTTGCTATTTTAAAGAGAACTAATTTCTGTCAGTTTTAAACTGGTAACTTTGGTCCACAATTTTTCTCAGAAAGACATTTCTAATATTGAACGCTTTGAGTTTAATTATTAAATTATGAGTATTAAATTAATAACTTTAATAACAGTCCTGTACTATGCTTAATTGAGTTTTAACCTGCATAAATAGTCTGATATGCATTTTACCACAAACAAGTAATTCACAATAATGAACCTGTCAATATAGATTGTTCATTTGTTTTTTGAAACCGTGTCCTGTTTTATATTTGTGGCGTAGTAAACACTAGTATTGTGTTTTATTCCAAAGACGCATGGCAAATTTTCCATCAAATTCCTTTATTAGTTGAGTCGACTCAACTAATAAAGGAATTTGANATTTTTTTTTTTTTTCCTTTTACAAAATTCTTTAAGAAATTTGAATTTACATTGGTAATATGAAAGCTATATATAATAAATAATTACATCAGAAAGAGTTATTTTTAATGACTAAAAATAGATGTGAAAAAATTATCTGATTTTTGGCATAACTAATCAGCTTTTTAAGAATCATAGATTTGTTTTATAAAAAAAAACTTGTAGATGACTTTTTCATGATTTCTAAGAATATATTGATAAGAAAGAATTCAAGAAAATCTGTTTATAGATTGAAAATCACTTTAATTGTTATAGGTTGATTTTTTTCTCACAGCTACTCCAAGTTAGGTGAAACAAGATTATTTAGTAAAGTTTTAAAGCATATCTTTACATCAAATGCATTTCAGGCTAACATAACTTTATAGACTCTCTTCAGTGATACATGAATACATATAAACACAAAAAATCTGGTGAATGTTTTCAGCATACTTTCAGTAAAAATACAGCCAAAAATTATTACAATAATATATTGATTACAATTAATTACAATACCAAAAAACTTTATTACAAAATCAGCTTTAGTATTTATTAAATTTGGTCTCTATACAGAGGTTATGGAGGTATTCACCATGGCAATTTGGTTTGTAAAGCTCAAGTGCTTATTTTACACAATATCACAGCAAAGAAACAATTTCCTGTGGCATAATAGTTCTATTCAAAACTTGTCTTTATACATGCAGTGATATGTCAAGCATGTATGCAAACAGGCACCATATGCTATCTTGCAACAGATTTGCTTATAGATGATGTGACTGCTGCTCCAAATTCTTCATACTCATAGATGGTCAAAGCTGATATCTCATCTGATTCAACAAATGCTTAATGGGCAACAAATCTGCAGACTAGGGCAGTCCGAGGAAGTGTGGCAGCATGATTGAGACATTTCTGGGAAATCCTAGCTACATATGGTCAAGCATTACCTGGCTGGAAAATGGCTGTTTGAATGGCTGCCATGAAATGCAACACATGTGATTGAAGGAAGTTTTGAATGTACTGCTATGCCATCGTTGTCCATTGTACCAATACTAAGAATAACTGACTGATCATAAGAGATGGCTCCCCAGACTAGCTTGCTCAGCAGTAAAAACAGAATGAAGGACTCACCAGTGGTCTTTGAAACACTAGCACAATCACAGGGACAGATACAATGAGAGAGGGTTACATGGGCTTAAGCCCTTCTCGCAGTAAAAGGTTCAAATTTATTTGCTTGAACTTCAAAACATTGTTTCTAAAAACATTTACAATGACAAATATTGTTTATTGTACTATCCACAGTACAATCATTGTGCATATGTTAATAAAAGGTATTTATTAATTATTCAAATATTTTTAAATTTGAATTATCCTCCTCTTTGGAACTTCTGGATCCACTACTGCATGGTAGTTGTCTGCTCCTAAACAGAACTCAATGCTAAAGATGACATGCTGCCACTTTAGTAGCCCATGCTTCTCTATTATGGCTCCATTGCAAACAAAACCAAGTGTTGGAGTGCTAATGGCAGGACATAGCAGTTTCTATGCAAACAAATTTATTTCTAGTTCTCTGCCAATGGTATGAGAAGAGATAGGATACTGTACTGAGGCTTCCATCTGTCTCTGATAGTGGACAAAGATGCATTGCAGTTGTTTGTGCTTGTCTACAATCAGACAGTTATCTCCCATGATGTTCTGTGTGGTGAATCTAAAGCCTGCTCATTGTTTGTGCATGCATTCTCTGATGTATTTGCTACCCTAACACTTATACAGTCAAATCAGAATGGTCTAGATCAGTGGTTCTCAACCTTTTTTTACCCATGGACCCCTTTTCCTCTTTTTTTTTATTTTTTTTTTTTGTGGACCACCATGGACATTGCCCTGGAAAAAACTTTATATTTTTCACTAATAAAAGAAGAAAGGAATTATATCAAAAATAAAAGAAATAGTAAATGATTATGTTTTATTTTGAAGGAAAGCCAATTTATTGCAAAATAAACATATTAAACAATTAAGTTTTATAGATCATTTATATACAATAGTAAAAAATTAAAAATAAACCATTTTAAGATAGACTTAAGTGGATAATGGAGAAAAAATGATTTATTCAATGAGATCCCTGTGTTTGATGCTGCTCAGCAAGTCTATTTATATTCGGCTCCATCGAGGTCAATGATAGTCCCTTTTTCCGCAATGTTGAGTCTATTATGAGCTTTTGATGATAAAATATCACCGTGAACCCCAATTAAGTATTTTTTTCTGTGGACGCCCAGTAATGTTACACGGACCCAGTTTAGAACCACTGGTCTAGATGATGAGCAGTTTGGGAAAACAATTATCTCCAGCTTGAAGATGTGGCCTTTTTCATATTCTGTCATCTGTGCATAATGTATTTGATCTATGTTATATATATGTGCAGTCTTTATGTAACTTTTTTGTCAATGAGTACAGTTTAGCTTTATGAATGTGTGCATAGACACACATTCATAAAGCTAAGCAAATTTTCTCATAAGAGATGAAACATTAATCAATATGGAGATGACAGTATCTGTTATCTTGTTTTTCCATAGGAGTCAGATCACATACATTATTTGGAGCCTTTCAAAGAACTGATGTCAAAATTGTCTATATAAAAAAGAACAACAGTCTTAGTGATTGCATAATCTTATAATATAATGCAATGTAATAAATTTTTATAAACTATAGGAGCGGAGTTTAAAAATTGGCAGATTACATTTACTACATAGTATTATTCTGTACGTTATTACTTTATTCTTGTATTAGTAATAATAATAAAATAAATATTATTATTATTATCATTTTAGCATATTTGTGTTTTAATTCTTTATTGTATATCTTGATTGTATCAAGATGTAAAGGTGAAATTTAGACATTTCAATTTTTTTTTAGAAATGACTGGAAAAAATGTTAAAGAACATTTCATTTGGTAATAATATAAGTAGAGTAACCAAAGGTTATTTCATCACATATTTCATTTGGAAATAAACATATTAGCAATGTCTGACAATATGAAACTTTTGAAAGAACACATTTGAAAGCTGTTGCTCTATCACTTCAAAAGTGGCCACAGCATAACAAAGGCTCACAATTTCATCTGCAAGACACTTGTTAAAGTGTTTGTGGCTGTCAATCAGCTGTTACAAATATCAAAAGGCTGATAGTACAGAAAGTGATGTGTGATGATCTGCATTTATTTGCCATAATTGTGATGGATTTGCTTCCAACCAACATCACTGTCACAAACAAACTCTACTGTGAACAACTGGACTATTTGGACACAAAGATCAAAGACCTTCATCCCAAAATTGACAGTCCAATATTACCACAAAAATGTACCAGCATATGGAGCAAAGATGACCTTTGAGAATTTGGTCATTTGGCACTGGGAGGTTCTGTCTCACCTTACAGTCCAGACTCGGTTCTAACTGACTACCATCTATTTTGCACTCTAGAACCATATTGCCAAACAGTTTAGTAACAATATCCAATGCTCAACACTTCAAAGAAAAACCCGTCATTGAATGCTCATAGGATTGAAAGTTTGCAGCAAAGGTGGCAAGATGTGATTGATATTGAGGATGATTACCTACCAGACTGAACTGTAATCATTGAGTTAATTGTCATAAAGTTTTTTCAAAATGTCTAAATTTCATTTTTACAACCTGATATAAAACCTAGATAAAATTTTTAACGGCATAGGATTTTTTTTTTTGTTTAATCTGTTATATGTATATTAAATGTTATTTGTTATTAAAACATATTTTTTATAGGTTTATAGCTAAACAAGGATTAGATAAAACTTTTTATGAATGTGATACACATATGTGGCGATTAGGTGACAGAGAACTTCCGTGGGGTATAAAATTAGATGGAGGAAGTGATTGGTTAGCATTAAGTTATGAGTTTTCTGTTTATATTACTAAAGGAGATGATGGTTTGTTACAAGGATTAAAAGTTTTGTATCAGTATACTTTACTGCCAGGAGAGGTATGTTGTTATCTGAAAAATTCAGTAACTTTTTTATTTTAATGTACTTAAGTAAAATATTTTATTTGATGAAAGATAAATGTCATTTTTATTACTTTTTTTAAAAGTAAATTATAAATATTAAATTAATATCAGAAATATTTTTTTAATTTCAGTCTTTTTTTCATACTATCATCCAAAACAGTATATACTGTGATACAATAATAGATAATAATTTACATGTAACAAATTGGAAGAGAAAACAAGGTTGTAAATGCCAGTATAAGCATATTGTAGATTGGTGTGGTTGTTCTCCTAATGATTTCAAACCAGAAGATTGGCCTAGGCTTCAGGTAATTACATTTATTAGATTATTATTTCATAAAGGATGTTCTAAAAAAATTACTGATTATTTTCAGTCCACAGAGGACCGTCCATTTTTCTTTGCTAGAAAATTTGAACCGATAATTAATCTGCAGGTTATTAATCAAGTGGAACTATGGATAAATAGTCCTTATAATAGAGGTAAATAAGAAGTTTAATTTAAAATATACAAATTAAAACATATGAAATTAAATATAACTATAGTAATTTTTTAAAATAAAATCTCTAATGCAAAATAATTTTAACATTTTCTTTTAAAATATGAAACATAAAAAGCCTAAATTCAAATTTGATGCTTTTATTTACTTTCTAAATTTGTATTTAATAACCCCAAGAAAGAGTATTAAAATCAGGTAAATGTTTTAGACAACATTCATTTTTAGTTATCTTCAATAGAAAGAATTTAAAACAAATAATAGAACTTAAGTATACAATAATATGCAGAATAAAATCAAACATATAACATTAGTAAAGATAAAAATTAAAATTAAATAAATTAAAGAAGTGTAGTAAATGATAAGTGCTGAACATAAAATTAAAAGTCAAAATTATTTGAATAGTTTAGTTTAGTTTATTGAACATAATAGGCAGTCGCCTGTTACAAGGGGGTACATGACGATGAAGAAAGATGGAAAATAAACATTCAATAACAAAAAATAAACATATCTCCGCTTTAGAATAACATGTAGTATTTAAGATTTTACATTTAGGAGTCTTCTTACACCATTATAGCAATTGTAAATTTCATTAGTGGTAGCTAGATTGAATTTATTATACATATAATTAACTAAACTTTGGCTATTAATTTGATCTTCAGTGATCTCTGATTCTTGATCTTTATTAAGATCACATCCATAAAATAAATGAAGCTTTGATAGTGTTTTGGCACACTTTGGACAAATGGAGTGTGCAAATTCCAAATANGGTTTTACTAATCATTCAATTATATTCTATATTAAATACAGTCAATTCCATTTAATTGGGCCACTGGTTAATCAGGGCAAATGCTTTATTGGGCCAGATCTCAAAGAACAGAAACCAAACTAATAAATTAATACATAATTTAATCACTTAATTGGGACAATAGCAGAGAAGGAATTTAGCAATTTTTGATATATTTTAGTAATCTTCCAAAAATATGTAGGCACTACATACATTAATGTTGTGTAGGCCTAACGGTTGGCAGAGACAAAGTGATTTTGTCTTTTGCTTGGGCAGTTCGGTTTTTCTGGAGGGGGTCAGCATAGCAGGATTTATCACACGGGGATTTCATCTGAGGCATACCTGAATGCAAGTTACTAATCCTGTACTGGATTGGACTGGACAATCCCCTTAAAAGCAAAGGGACAAAGATCACCAGACAATTTTTCGAGGTCTCTTGATTGGGTTGGAAGACAACTAGAGTTCCCTTGGAAGGTATTGTGTGTGTGCATAATTAGGTCTAGATTCAGACAGCAGCCATCCAATTGTTGAGACCAGCATTGAGTTGGCAGATTCTACGGACATTCCTGCCAAAGTGGCCCATCTCCAAGTAAAGGAAACTGTGCTCAAAGGAAGACTGTAAAATGGCTTTTGGACGAACCCTTTTCTTCCTCCCTTTTTAGTTAGAACATGTTCTAACTAAAAAGAAAGGAAAAATTGTTCAATCAGGAATGGATCGAATGGTCAACCCTTGTCTACATCACTACTAATATTTGGCAACACTAGCATTGTGAAAATCAGTTATCTATTGTTGAGTCTAGCAAATTTATAGTACAAATAGTTTCTGTATTTTGGTTCAATAAAGTGTTAAAATAGGTACCTAATTACTTGTTTTTTTACCTACTTATTTATTTACCTACATATTACATATTTTATTATAGAATTTATTATTAGTTTGTTTAATTGGGGCAGCCACTTAATTGGGCCAAAATGAATTAGTCCTAATGTGTCCCAATTAAGTGGAATCAAATTTATATATATATAGTAAAACCTGTCTTTGGCAATCACCCACGGTTCCTTCAAAAAGTGGTCTTTTAGACAGGTGGTCGTCCAATACAGGTGGTCCTGTAATAATGTATTTCCGTACATATTTTGCACACATTTTAGCCATTTCTACTAAGCAAAACTCTAGGTGAGCAAAAATAAGTGATTTTTTTCAACAATAGGGCTATATTGTGTTGTATTTTATTCTTATTGGATAACTCAATTTACAGGAGTCGTCTTGATATTATAAGACAGATTTAATACCAATACTTTACAGATTAATACAATACTCGCATTTTCTCCATTATAATGCACACTTTCTTTTTTCCAACTTAATTAATTCGACTTGGTTCTCTTCGTTCGCTCTTCGGTTACATGTATTACGTCATCGATATACAAACGCATCCTATCTCTCTATCACTTTGTTCTTGGTTTTCATTTGTTTAATCTTATTTTAACTTTAAAAATATCGTATTTTTTAAATATTTAATATTTCTTATGTACAATAAGAAAAATTATTATAGTTTAATAATAAAATGATTTTATTATTTTTTCTCATAATACGATTTCATTACATTCCACGATTGTCATTGGACAATTGCGGAATCAAAAAAGGAAGGTTGCCTAAAAACTGATTTTTGCATTAATACGTTTATTGCTTTTTGAATATTTTGCGTGTGAAAATTACTTGGATATTATTTATCTAAAAATATCATGGAAATAAGGTAGGTTGATACAGAAACTATTTATTGCACGTGTACTGTATATAAGCTTCAAAAAAAATAATAATAAAAAATAATAATAATAATAAATAAATAAATTTTATCAAATGATGAGATCAGCTAATTAATTGTATCATGTACAATATTTTATACCCCTAAGGAAAATACTGTAGGTCTATGGTAAAATAAATTTTGTTTTCCACAGTTAAAACTTCGCTGCTAATTGCCATTGTGGATAAACCATTTTCACTTTCTCTGATAATTTTAACACAATCTTCTAACGACAGCACTTTGCATTTCTTTCGTTTTTCAGACATTTTCCAACAAACTGAAATGAATTTTCTTTGTTGCTAGACTAATTTATTAACACCTACACCTAATTTCAAGGATGGGAGAAGTGCCCGGGTGGGTTCAAACAAGAGTTTAGACCAGATATATTCGTGGAAGTGGTCGCTTATTACAGTTGTTGTATGTTGTTTCAGACCAAAAATCGATGCCCGCGGTCACATTACACAGGTGATCGTTTAATACAGGTAACTTATACAAAGACTCTATGGATAAACTATTCAATGCCAGAAATTTTTGCCCGCTTTGACAGGTGCCCATCGAATGGAGGTGGTTGCCTAAGCTGTTTTTACTGTACATATTTTTAAGATAGTCTGCTGACAAAAATTATGTAATTTTGCTATTTAAAACTGAACAATCTATTTGTGGTGTAGTAAACACTAGTATTGTGTTTTATTCCAAAGACGCATGGCAAATTTTCCATCAAATTCCTTTATTAGTTGAGTCGACTCAACTAATAAAGGAATTTGATGGAAAATTTGCCATGCGTCTTTGGAATAAAACACAATACTAGTGTTTACTACACCACAAATAGATTGTTCAGTTTTAAATAGCAAAATTACATAATTTTTGTCAGCAGACTATCTTAAAAATATGTACAGTAAAAACAGCTTAGGCAACCACCTCCATTCGATGGGCACCTGTCAAAGCGGGCAAAAATTTCTGGCATTGAATAGTTTATCCATAGAGTCTTTGTATAAGTTACCTGTATTAAACGATCACCTGTGTAATGTGACCGCGGGCATCGATTTTTGGTCTGAAACAACATACAACAACTGTAATAAGCGACCACTTCCACGAATATATCTGGTCTAAACTCTTGTTTGAACCCACCCGGGCACTTCTCCCATCCTTGAAATTAGGTGTAGGTGTTAATAAATTAGTCTAGCAACAAAGAAAATTCATTTCAGTTTGTTGGAAAATGTCTGAAAAACGAAAGAAATGCAAAGTGCTGTCGTTAGAAGATTGTGTTAAAATTATCAGAGAAAGTGAAAATGGTTTATCCACAATGGCAATTAGCAGCGAAGTTTTAACTGTGGAAAACAAAATTTATTTTACCATAGACCTACAGTATTTTCCTTAGGGGTATAAAATATTGTACATGATACAATTAATTAGCTGATCTCATCATTTGATAAAATTTATTTATTTATTATTATTATTATTTTTTATTATTATTTTTTTTTAAGCTTATATACAGTACACGTGCAATAAATAGTTTCTGTATCAACCTACCTTATTTCCATGATATTTTTAGATAAATAATATCCAAGTAATTTTCACACGCAAAATATTCAAAAAGCAATAAACGTATTAATGCAAAAATCAGTTTTTAGGCAACCTTCCTTTTTTGATTCCGCAATTGTCCAATGACAATCGTGGAATGTAATGAAATCGTATTATGAGAAAAAATAATAAAATCATTTTATTATTAAACTATAATAATTTTTCTTATTGTACATAAGAAATATTAAATATTTAAAAAATACGATATTTTTAAAGTTAAAATAAGATTAAACAAATGAAAACCAAGAACAAAGTGATAGAGAGATAGGATGCGTTTGTATATCGATGACGTAATACATGTAACCGAAGAGCGAACGAAGAGAACCAAGTCGAATTAATTAAGTTGGAAAAAAGAAAGTGTGCATTATAATGGAGAAAATGCGAGTATTGTATTAATCTGTAAAGTATTGGTATTAAATCTGTCTTATAATATCAAGACGACTCCTGTAAATTGAGTTATCCAATAAGAATAAAATACAACACAATATAGCCCTATTGTTGAAAAAAATCACTTATTTTTGCTCACCTAGAGTTTTGCTTAGTAGAAATGGCTAAAATGTGTGCAAAATATGTACGGAAATACATTATTACAGGACCACCTGTATTGGACGACCACCTGTCTAAAAGACCACTTTTTGAAGGAACCGTGGGTGATTGCCAAAGACAGGTTTTACTATATATATATAAATTTGATTCCACTTAATTGGGACACATTAGGACTAATTCATTTTGGCCCAATTAAGTGGCTGCCCCAATTAAACAAACTAATAATAAATTCTATAATAAAATATGTAATATGTAGGTAAATAAATAAGTAGGTAAAAAAACAAGTAATTAGGTACCTATTTTAACACTTTATTGAACCAAAATACAGAAACTATTTGTACTATAAATTTGCTAGACTCAACAATAGATAACTGATTTTCACAATGCTAGTGTTGCCAAATATTAGTAGTGATGTAGACAAGGGTTGACCATTCGATCCATTCCTGATTGAACAATTTTTCCTTTCTTTTTAGTTAGAACATGTTCTAACTAAAAAGGGAGGAAGAAAAGGGTTCGTCCAAAAGCCATTTTACAGTCTTCCTTTGAGCACAGTTTCCTTTACTTGGAGATGGGCCACTTTGGCAGGAATGTCCGTAGAATCTGCCAACTCAATGCTGGTCTCAACAATTGGATGGCTGCTGTCTGAATCTAGACCTAATTATGCACACACACAATACCTTCCAAGGGAACTCTAGTTGTCTTCCAACCCAATCAAGAGACCTCGAAAAATTGTCTGGTGATCTTTGTCCCTTTGCTTTTAAGGGGATTGTCCAGTCCAATCCAGTACAGGATTAGTAACTTGCATTCAGGTATGCCTCAGATGAAATCCCCGTGTGATAAATCCTGCTATGCTGACCCCCTCCAGAAAAACCGAACTGCCCAAGCAAAAGACAAAATCACTTTGTCTCTGCCAACCGTTAGGCCTACACAACATTAATGTATGTAGTGCCTACATATTTTTGGAAGATTACTAAAATATATCAAAAATTGCTAAATTCCTTCTCTGCTATTGTCCCAATTAAGTGATTAAATTATGTATTAATTTATTAGTTTGGTTTCTGTTCTTTGAGATCTGGCCCAATAAAGCATTTGCCCTGATTAACCAGTGGCCCAATTAAATGGAATTGACTGTATTTAATATAGAATATAATTGAATGATTAGTAAAACCTCTGAAATAAGTTTTAAATCAGATTTCTAAATATTTCATAAATTTAAATTTCAAGAACTTTTCTAAACTAATTAAAAGTTTTTCTCTTTCCTTTTAACATAGCAAGAATCTTTAAAAAATTTTTGCTAAAATTAGTGATAATTTTTAATTTGAATAAAGGTTAGTTATCAACAATTAGAAGTAAAAAATTAATTACTTATATATAATCTTATACATCTTTGAAACTAAAAATTGTTAAAAATTATGTTTTTGTTTGAAAAAATTGTTTTAATATTTTTCAGATATTGGGAATATTTTAGAAGTCCCAAGTATGAACTCATATTGGCAAAACGATTATCATTATAGAGAAAAATCCCCTTCACCAGATGATGCTCGGTTATCTGTGTATGACAGTTTTTCCCGTTTAGGTACAAGACAGCTTCAAAATGCATTACAAACTTGTAAATTGACAGCCAAAAAAGTACAAGAAGCAACTCTTTATATGGATAATGATGTCTTTAAGGTTGAGTATTTTTGTTTGTTAATGAAAAAATACTTTTATTATCTATTACTAAAATTTATTCAAAAATTATTAATTTATATTCTGGTATTATTTAGTTATAATTTGTTGCTAAATTTAACAGGTAATTACTGCTAAATATTTGGATGACACTTTTCAAAGTATATTATCATTTCATTAAACACACTTAGATGATAAAAGTTAAATCTTTGACTTAAGCTTTAAAGAAAGAATAAAGCTTAAGTCAAATAATTTTTCCCCTATTCCTGTTAAGCACAGTTAAGATTTTATGTAGTTTCAATAGAATTAGTTTTACAAGAAATGCATTTGCTTGTGTATTTTGTAAGAAACTTTCAGATATTGTTGTTAAAATGATCAAGTTCAGCCATTAATTTTTTTTCTTCAGATAATTATGTAAAATTTTAAGAATTTAAATAAATAGTTATTTAAATTTTTTTATCTGCTTGATGCTTTTGATAAATAATGGAATTTAGTAGTTAAAATGTATACAAAATAAACTTGATTAATCAAATATTTTCAAACTTCATTAAAGGCTTGCTTATTCAGGTACAAATAAGATTTAAACAGAATGTTTTGAACAGTCAAAGATTAAATCTTATATTAAAAAAAAAGTTAAATTTTAGTAAATTCTTAAATTGTTCAAATCTGTTTAGTCTGTTTCTATTTGAAGAAGTATTTAAAGAAATTTTATTTTGAGGACTTTAATCTTTAAAGTTTCTATCAAAAATACTTTGTATAAATACAAAAGTTTATTCAAATAACAAATATTGTAGTATTCTTATTTTAATTAGAAAATTATAAGTTTAAACTTTGAATGTTGTTATTTTTATTTGAAATTATTAATAAAAAATATTAAAAAATCTTTAAAATAGATGAATAATTTAATTAAATATTTTCACAGGGAATTCTTGTTCTTTATGAAGCCACCATACCTAATGTAGAACAACCTGTGATTCTAGAAACCCATATTCAACCAATTCAGTATTATACTGTGCATAAAGCATTCGGACCAACTGGTAGACTAAAATTTTTACAGGTATTATTTATAATAAATGTTACAAATATCATATTATATTTATGTTATATTGTATTAAATTAATTTTAGAATCTATTAAATGTAAGATGATGTTGCTCAGAAATGCTAAGAAGTAGGTAGAATCCTGAGAATCTGGTAAAAGTGAGGAAAGGACTTCAGATTCTCCTCCATTTCCTACCTGAATAAAAAAAGAAGAAAAAAATTGAATTAGAATTTCTTAAAATAAGAATAAATGAACTATCAAATACCGTGTAGTTAAGAAAAAGATATATATATTTCTTAAAATAAGAATAATTAAACTATCAAATACCGTGTAGTTAAGAAAAAGATATAGGCAATGCAACCAAAAAGCACACTTAAACAGACAATTAACACAAGATGAACCAAGATGAGCAATTATTTATTGTGATGTCACCCTGTCAATCTTTAATTAAGAACCAAAATTTAATAGAATTGATTCCCTTTATACACATGCTATTGTGTCAAATTTTGTTTCTTAAACTTTACTCATTCTGAGATTTTTTAATATTTCAGAACAGAATAAAGAAATTAAACAAATTAGATGCCAACATATGCGTGACGAATTTTTCTCTTTATTTGACATTTGTTTGTTTGAGATATCTCCAAACATACAGATTTGCAAAAAACTCTGAGGGTCAAATGTGACATGATTCAAATACTTTTTTTTATATACATAACAAGTTGGGAAAGTAAAAACGGAGTCAGTGGGTTTTTTTGATGACTCAGACAAGAACACCAAAATTCCACAACTCCGACTCCACAGCTCTGTTCAGAATAGAAAAGAGAAACTAGTTTTCTTCCTATATTTATACTGCAAGAGATAATGCAATCTGATGCTTATTCTAGCTTTCAGTGATCAGTGCTGATCTGCAGAGGGATCCTTTGTTCCAATACTTTGCAATAATCTAGCACATTGCAGATCATGTGATGATCTTGGGTTCACTCAGTTCTGCAGTGATATTTTCTGCAGCCATCCTTTTGTTGGCACAAATCATGGTTTTTACTCTTTTAATGGTATTCTCTCTAGTGACTGTTGTTGACCAGCCAGGTTACTGCTTGTCTGTGAGTCTCACAGCCATTACAGAAATGCTTGCATCATTGCTACATCATTTGCTTTGACATTATATCCAGTCCACTAGCCATTTTTGAATTTCAGTGTCTCTTGTACTGTATTAATTCTTGGACAACTGCTCTCATTTTATTCTTTGTCTATGTCTACAACAAATCTGTTTGCCTTCTTGTTTCTTAGTATACTGGGTGCATATGCTTTGTGTATTCACAATAACTTCCAACTACTGCCACTCATGTACAGTACAACATGTATCCTTACAGCAAAACACAGCACATGTCAAGAAGGTTGATGTCTTTACCAGTACATGATATTTTTTACCCTATAAGTATACAAATTCCAAAAATGTGGATACAGAAAACTAATTTTTATACCATCTTACATATTTTTCCATAATATCAAAAGATAGACATGTTAAAAGTCTAAATATGTACAGATTGGTTTATTATTTATAAAGAACTCAAAACTGACTTTTATTTTTTATTCTGTATCTAGGTTGGATCACATTTTGATTTAAAAGAGCAGGTATTTAGAAATTTTGGATCCATATTAGGACCATTTTCAGAACCTGGTGCAGTTCATAAATGGGGGCCTGGCCAGGCTTTCTCAGCAACATTTGTTTGGGTAGATTCAACAAATACTGTTGCTGGCTCTTATGAAGTAAAGATTGAAACAGGTGTACAGGTAATAAATTTGTAAAATATTTGCTTTATTTTTACTGAAAATTTTTATCAGAATAGTTTAGTTGTTTACAAATTTCATTATTAAATAAAGCCACTCCTCACTTAAGACAGAGTTCCGTTCCTATATCTAGATTGTTAAATGAGAAGCTTAATCATTTTTGTTTATTCTAGAAAAAGGATAAAGGAAACCCCAACTTTATAACTTTGTTTTACTTTGCATCTCTTACATATTACAGAATATAAAAATACACTCAGCAAAAATTATAAAAATGATGTACCAAAAAAATAAAGTTTATTCATAGAAAAAAGATATTTAGATTAATATTTAAGTTATTGAATCCTTTAAATGGGATGCACAATAAAGTACAAATTTATAAATTAAATATGTAGTCTTGGAGATTGCAGATGCATAGCATAGTTGAATCATGACTGACTATGGGCACTAGACTAAGATTAAAGGAGATTCCCTGCACTAGTGTTGGTCATACCAACTCATTAAACAGATAGGTCTTTAAATGAGGAGTGGCTGTACCGTAGTTGAAAAATTTATATTTAATTTAAAATGTTAAAATTTGAGAAATTTTAGTTAATTATTCTAGTTATTGTTTGATAAGATGCTATGGAATTATATTCATAGAATCTTGTTGACAAAATATTTTTGAGATTCTACATATCTCTATGTTAAAATTCTTAAATTTGTAAAAGTAATTTTAATGCTGAAGATTTAGATAGGTGTAAACTATCAGGCATTTTGGATAGATATCTAAAATTTGTCATAACTTACATATATTGTGAAAAATATTTTTACGATTAAGGTCCGGTGAGGTAATTGCATCTTTTTGTAATATTGTGAAGTCGTTGACCCGGTGGAGATTTGGGACTTAATTTAAAATCCCACTTCTTGGACGTCAGTGTGAGGTTTGCCGATTGGGGAGAAAGTATTTCAACAGTTGAGCAGTCAGCACTGTTGTGTGGGAGTGAAAAAAACTTACTGAGACAGGTTCTCCATCATATACCGTTTAATAAATATAAAAATTTTTCTTACAACAAATCCATAAAATGGCATAACACCTATCTAAAGTTGAGCAACAAGTTCGTAACACTAAAAGTTCAACTGTTCTGACAGTAGTTTTTCTTCCGGCGATGGAGGCGTGAAGACATCGACTCTGGGCTACACAACACTATTTGGACCAAGGTCTTCTATCTACAAGGTGGACTTTAGCGATCTTGATGACACGGGAGGGTGAAGACAAGTCCTCCGAATATCTGACAAGTTCTCGTGGGAGAATGTCCGGATGACAAGAATCCTGGAGAGGAGTACAGCAAACCAAAGGACAAGAACTATGAACCAAGAACGTCACACTTTTTTTTTGTGCAGTTTTTATAAGTTTTTTCTGGGTCCCAGATCGAACATTTCGATAGGTCGATGCCGATCTGCCCCCGCTCTCTAATTGGTCCCCCTCCTTGTTACGAATTGTAATGAGATCGGAGCCCAGATCGTGGGGTGAGTCAACTCTGACTGACAATTTGATTCCTATTGAAGATGTTCGATCTAAGTACTCAAATTCATCCATTGTTTTAACCTGAGTAGTTTGACTTAGAAATTTTTACAGATATGTCCTTATATGGACATAAAATATTCATTTTGCGTTTGACGGTTTCTTTTTACAATATTATAAGAATAATAATTATAATTATAAATTTTTTTTCATATGAAATTAAAACATTTTCTGTACACGAATTTCGACCCACTTCCAGAGCTTCACAATATCAACCAGTCAAAATTAAGCTGATACAATACTTAATTATATAAACGGCTTGCTGTATATTATATTACAATTGTAAATTTGTCTCTGTAATCCAAAAACACACTTTGGTAGACGTATCTTACAGCAATATCTGGTTAGCAAATTATCTTTTATTTTTCATTGGACTACAAATATATTTCGGGTTGGTACAATGTATTCCAACCCCTCTTCAGTGATTTTCCAATTTTGTAAATTATAAAAATTGTTTCTTTTTTATCTCAAATTATCTCAAAAGAAACAATTTTTATAATTTACAAAATTGGAAAATCACTGAAGAGGGGTTGGAATACATTGTACCAACCCGAAATATATTTGTAGTCCAATGAAAAATAAAAGATAATTTGCTAACCAGATATTGCTGTAAGATACGTCTACCAAAGTGTGTTTTTGGATTACAGAGACGAATTTACAATTGTAACTGATACAATACATTGATTTTATAGCTGAATACATTTGATAGTATTTAAGCTAGTTGCAACAGTGATTTGAAAAGTCTGAATAAGTTTGATCTTTTCTTCTGACATGGTGCATGTATTGTACAGTAATCTTTGTATTTAAAATCCAGTATTTTTGATTTTAAGATACAATGTTTAGATGAATAGTGTAGAATGATTTGTGCATCCACCTGCTTTTTCATGTCAGACTCAGAGTGTTGTAACTACACTTGAAACTTTGATCATTAGTGTAAATGAATCTATGCCAGTGAAGTTAATGCCTCCTACGTTGTGGCTCTACATATAGACACCTTGACTTGAGTCTGTGTGGAGCAGAAGAAAACACCATTAGCATTATTGTGATATTGTGAAGTTTTCAACAAACTCAAATGTCTGCAACCATGTTATGTTGAACAAGTTGTTGTCAACTTTGATAAACACAAGTAGAAGTTTATGTACCTTGTCAAGAAGAAATCTAGGTGAACACTTGTGTTTTCTGAGAGTCAGATGTGAAGGATTATGCAGACATTCCTCTCCAAGACATTATGAAGTCTCTTGGCAAAATATACCAGCTTAGAAGACATGGTTTTATTTTTTTGTTGCAACTTCAGATCTTATTATAACCTGGAGTAAGGTGTTCCAAAATATTCTTAGGCTATCTTTTCAAGGGAAAGTTACTCTCAGGCAATTCTGTCTTGTTTTGAAAAATCACTTTACATTTATTAGGAACTTAAATTATAATAAATAATGCTGATTTTATCATTGCTGTTTAGTGTGCAATAATTACATAATTTGCTACAACCATACTTGCTATGGAACATACTGAAGTCTGTTTACAAAATAAAGGTTACTGTCACAGCTTTGACCCACTTATCTTTGCATTTGCTTTTATTTGGATCTTCCTAGATGCACTTACCCCCATTAGTGTGGGTAATTAAACCCTCCTGTATTATTTTTTAAAAAATAATACTTGTGATATTCATGACCTGTTGCTATAGAACCAGGTAAGTTATTCCAGCAATTGTTTTTTGGAATCAGGTAATCTCTTCCTCACTGGCTGAATCTTTAAAATTCCAGAATTGAGGGTGCATTTACCAAGCCTGAACTTAACTAATTCTTTAAATTGATAATTTTTCATTTATGAATTTTAACATTTTGTTTAAAAAATTAGATCTTAATATAATAATTAAATAAATATCATTTTCTAAAACTTTAACCTTAATTCAGGTTCTCTATCATAAACCTATCTTTCGCCAACCACTTCGCCCTGGAATCTGGACATTGCAGCTGTTATATAATTGGGTAATAGTGGCAGAAGCACAATTTCTAGTAACACCTTTATCATATTATAATGGTCACAAAGTAGGCAGTGAACAAGCAAAATTTCTTCACAACGGGCCCGGACAACGATACGTCGATCACGATTTTTCCAGCGTAGAGATTCTTTTGGGTTACACCAATAAAAGTACCGTGTTGAGACAGGCATCTGCCAACTCTCGTCGATACGGCAAAGACTTGGAGGAATGGATTGATTCGTTGGTGGCACAATTTTGGACGGTACAGAACACGTGTTTTCTCGCACAGCCGCAACATCCGACGGGTGGAGCAGTGTGTCTTCGGCTGGACCTCGATCCCTGCCACATGACTACTTGGAGTTCAAGATCCCCGGATCCAAAGTCAGATATAAGGCCATCCGAACAGAAGAATAAAAGCGAGAAGAAAGTTAGCTGAATAGAGTAATAATAAAATTATCACATGTACAGTTTTTTAATCACAAATTGTTTATATAACTATACACATTTAAATATATTATTTACATATAATTATACATATTAAAAAATATTGACTTTTGTATATCATCTCGATGTGAATACACAATGAAATTTTCTCTTATACATAATTTGTAATGACACAGATAAGAAGTTTAATTTAGTTCTGTTTGTCTGATACTATTCATATCACTATAGTAGACAATCAAATATTTGAAATAATTCAAAATATATGTTCCTTTTGAAAATTTGTTGGTTTTATTGCAAATATAGTACTAAATTTATTATTATTATTATTATTATTAATGCAAATTATAATTTTGTTAATAGTTTATCAGAATTGATATTTCTTGTTGTTGATGGCACGTAACCCACAAGATTTGCTATTATTTTTTAGTGAAAGATTTAATTTTAAATATTTGCTATTCTCCAAATATAGTGTGCAGGTAAGTGGGATGCCTGCAAATAATTTGATTCTTATGTTTCAAACAATATTTTCACATTTAACTTTTTCAAGTTGAAAAAATTTAAGATTTTCAATTTTTGAAATAATTTTGTTTTATTCTAGTAAAAATACTATTTTAAAAAAGTACCGAATTTAATTATAATTTAGAAAATAGCTCATAATGCTTTTTAAAATGTGCCATGTTTATTATGAAAGTTTTCCTTTTTTATTATTTGGATAGAGGAATGTGCCATAGATTAGCCAAGAATAAACAAGCTATTAAAAGAAAAAAAAAAATACAAATATATCAGGGAATAATAAATTTGCGATCAGCGTTTTCATATTTTTCAAATAAGATACGAATAATTGGATATGACAATACAAATGTAAAAATGTAAATAATGCCATAATGTATGTAAAAAAAATTGTTGTATTTTTGTCTTACGTTTAAAGTTAGTTTTTAAATTAGATTATTAGAGAAAAACATTAAGGAAAATGTATTTAACTTAATAATTAAATTTATAAACAATGATTTATACGAAGAGGGGGGAAATGTTAAAATTTCAAACTGTTGAATCCAAGAATTGCTTTAAATATTAGAATAAAATATATTTATAAATAGAAACAGTTTTTTAATATTGCATAATATATAAAATTGAATATAAATTAGCTCAATGCTTTTGAATTTTGTGCGAATTGGAGTAACTTTCTTCTATAAAGAACAATTTATAGAAAATACTTTACATTCACTTAGCTTACAATCACTTGAAATGATTTATTTCGAGGTGTTTTTTCATTTTCATTTATTATTTCCATTTGCAATAATGTAAGCTGCTAATCTATCTAAAGATATAATTAATTGGATCATGTTTAGCTTGTTTCAAAAGTTTAATTTTTGATAAATTGACCTTTAAATAAATCAGTCACAAAACAAAATAAGAATGTAAATTTGAGGTACTGTATATTTGAAATTCTTCATTTTTATATTTTTAAATCTTATCTGCTAATTATTGAGATGAAATACAATAAATAAGATTTAAAGGAATTGAATAAACTGAATATTTTAAAATCATTTTCCACATTCCACTTGATCCATATTTGTGCCAATCTTTAGTTAATTGCTCCAACTGTTTTAGTAATTGAAAATTATTAGCAAATTCTTCATTTTTTGTCATGTTTTCAAAGATCTTTTATCTTTATTGTCATAGAGTTTAATGTGATTTGGATGGTTATGAGAACTGATTTGAAGCAACAAAGTTTTAAGTTTATTAGATATTGTTATAATTAATAAAACATTAACACTACTTTAACTTCTATGTTTATATATATATATATATTTAAATTAGAACAAAGTAGAGGTTGGATTTGTAATTAAAGAATGATTTCTGAATGTTTTCTGGGAGGTTTATTTAAGAAATCTTTTGATATTTATCATTTGTAAGGGCAGTTTTGCATATTTAAAAGTTAAAGTGCATTTAATTTTATTTCCTACTCAATCTTTAATTATGTTTTATTTGTATTTAATAATTATTTATTCAATAATAATATGTTTATATTCTCAGAAAGAATATTCAAATGTTTTAAGAATGGAAATGGGGTTAGATGGCCGGATCAGAATTTTTATTTTCTTGTTTCTGTACGGAGCAGTATCTTAAAATTAAACACATTGAAGAATAAAAATTTAAGAAAAGAATCTAGTCCGACATCTATTCATCTGCTTAACAATATTTTTTCACTGTATTGGTGAGCATATCCATTTATTATTATTCAAATATTGCTTTCTTATATTTATCAGTTAACATATTTATCATATCTTTTTTCTTACAAGTATTTTCAATTAGATCTGTGTTAGTAATTTTCATCTCTCTTTCAAAGATTCTTTTGTTATAGTGATAAATTCTAAGAAAGATAATGAAAAACCGTGAATTAAAATGTGAAATTAATATGACAACCTTATTTTTCCAGCAGGTACAGGTTTCTTACTGTGTACAGTTACTCTCCATGTATTTACTATGTGGAATTATGTCCTAAGAACGTAATAGTCTTGTGACACACCACAAATAAGGAACCTGGGCCCAAACTTGGGCAGTGAATTGGCATGAAAACATTTGTCATTCAATTAAATATTTTGTGCTGGAAGAATAAGGTGGCCTTATTAATTAGTGTTAAAAAAAACACTAACTTCAGGTATCACAAATTTCTCTAAGTTGAATTCATTTATATGCTACTTAAAGAAATTTGCAGTACCTAAAGGAAGTTTTCTCATAATCTTTCTTAGACATTTTTCATCTCGGTATTGCCGAATTTTCTTTATTAACAATATGCTTTGTAATTATTTATTGTTAATAGTTTAAAAGTATATTTTTTTAATGTATAAGAATGATATCCAAAGCAATTATACAGTTAGAAAGTATAATTTTGTTTGTTAAATACCATATTTACTCAGTCAAATTTCGTTAAGAAAAATTTAATTTTCGAAATGTTTTTTTAGCCAGCAGAATGTGAAATTAACTTTCCTACTTTAATTGCATCATTAAATTTGAACGAACAGATTTGTATTTAATTTTCGCTAGAATTATGGCAGAATGATGCTATAACACAATAAAAAAAATGACAATAAGGCCAAAATATTTTGAACAAATCTCTGTTTCTCTTCCTGTATTTCCCAATTAAATATCATTTTAAGATTCTGTTAAAGCAGCGCTTCGATTATAAGAATCGACGTGGTGTAAGCTCTCATTATGAGAGTTTAATTTCAATTTTTAAAAATAAAATTTTGTAATCTGTAAACTCCGCACATCACTTCTCGTTAGGTTAAGTGTTCTAAATACTGTTTCTGATGCATAATCCACTACAAACACGCAATAAACTTTGTGTATCACACACTAAGTTAAATATCCCCGAATAATCCGAACAATTTTTTTCTACATGTGACTCGATTTAATAATGATACGTAATTGTAATTAATTAAATTTGCTTTCTAAGTATGTATTTGTCTGTGTACATATAATTACATGTGGAGAAAATTTGGTGGGAGTTAATAATCCCGGAAAAATTTGCTCAAAACGTATGCATCCGATTTAAATCGCTTTAAGTCTCCTTTATCTCATCACTCTGTAACGCTTTTTTCCTCCAGAACGTTAATAAAACATTTGTACAATGTTAAGGTATTATAGATTCACCTTCCAGAGATTGTGTTTAATTAAGAAAAATGGAATTTTATTATTGTTTCGGATTATTTTCTAAGATGTTTATATACATATATAACAATATGTGGTTTGTTTCCGAAAACGATGCGTATAGAATTTTCCATGTAAATATTGTACGTACGAGAAATTGTGATGTATCAAATATGGTCACAAAATGTAAGAAGTTTTTACATAAATAATGATTTAAAAAACAAAAAGAAAGAAGAGAGAATTAATTTTACAGAACTGCGTGCACGTTTCTATAAATAAAAGTGCCTTTTCTGTAATGGCATCGTTTTACTTTCCACGCTGTGTAACATAGAAACTTTTCGCAAACAATACAGAAAACATTTCGAATGTATTGCAATAAAAGAAAAATTTACAAAAAAAAATTTCGCCTGTTTTTGTTTCTATATCAGTTCAATTTTCAGCTTGTTTACCATTCTCTTGGCGTGAAGATAGGCCTCTTCCTCCTCCTGGCTAGGCTCGTATCTTCTCTTTTTCCCCTCCTCTACGCATAAACCAGATTGGTAAACGTTCAAGAATCTTTCCGCCTCTTCTAGAAAAATTCTAGAATTTTGGTCCTGTCGGAATTTTTTCCTGGTAACCAATTTAACTGAAAACGTTTCCCGAAATTTAATTCCTTATCGAAAATTAATCATTAAATTAGAAAACAAAATACCAATCTTATGGAGGAGGAAACAAACGAAAAATACACCAGCAATTACGGCCATTCCGGTTAACGTGTAGTTAAAGAAGTTGGATTGTCGGAATCGATCCATCGTGGTGGCATTTCGTTGTAGTTCGAAAAACTAGAAATCCAAGACCGGAAATGTATTGTTACAACATTGACTTACTTAAATGTTTAAAAGCGGAAGTGTGACAAACCTTTTCTAGAATATCCTTGGAATCGGGTTTGTCGGGTACCACCACAATGGGAGTCGCGTGACTTTGGTAATACTCCTTGGCCCATTCTTCGTACATCTGGTACTCCGGAGACCATTCCACCGATCTTTTACTTCTTACGTTTAAAAGTTTGTCATTATCTGAAAGTATCGCGGGCGAGATTGTCATCTTTAGACTTAATTTTTAAAGTAAATCTTAGCCCGACGGAGCTACTAGCGGGTTCGATCCCGGATAATTAGTTGGCCACGTGGAATTTTCCGGGTTTTCTTCGCGTTAGTGGCACCTAAATAGAAACCAGTTTCCGGTCGTGGATTCGCGCTCGATCAACGTTCTTTAGGTTGTAACACTTAAATAAGGGCCAGTTTTCCGTAAAAGGCCCTCCCGGGGCATCCCCCTCGACGGATAACCCACGCGTGGCATTAACGTATACAAATACGTAAACTTTACCATTCGTAAAATTGGAATGAAAAACTTTCTTGTAATACGATACCCATTTAGGATGACATTCTGTAAATATAAAGGTAAAATTTATTTATTTATTTAATAAATTTAATTATAATTAGGTTAAAACATCAAGAAAATTAATAAAATAAACAATTATTGCCCTATTTAAACGCGAGAGGACTGGTGTTCATGATGATCAAACATGATCATCACGAGCTTCAATTAATGCAAAATGAATTAACTTCTCCATTTTACAAAATAAATGTATTTAAAATAACCTGGAAAAATGCAAATAAACGCCATTAAAGTCCGTAACATGATTGCTAAACGCGATAAACTAAGTTGGCAACAATGTAATTGTTTATTATTCGAACAATTTTCGAATTGTTACGTCGTAATAATTAATGAAATTTAATTATTTTCACGTTCCTACGGCGTTAATGAATTCGAAATTTAACTAATTTATGGAATGTTTGCATATTTTGCATTTGTTTATAAATTCTGCTGATGCCAGATTTGGATAAATTTAGTCGGAAAAGAAAAGAAAAAATTTAATGTTTTATTTCAGAATTTAAAAAAAAAANCTATTAACAATCAATAATCGATGCTTGCGTATCCTTCGTGCCTAACACTAGCAGGAGCAAACACTTGTAGCGCGGAATTTACATATAGATGTATCGTTAGTTAAACAAATACGTATATTCTATTCTCTAATAATACTAATTTTGATGGTCAAAATCATGTTGTATGCAGTATAAGTGACGTATGTATAAATTTTAAATGTAACCAGTTTCCTTCTCCTTATCTAGAGATGCTTTCAAAGTGAAACTTTTGCATTAGATAAAATGAATTGATAGATAATATATTTTCGCCACCAGATGGAGACATCGATTTGGAAAATGATATTTTTTCCCCCGTCCTACTAACGATTCCTACTGAAATATTACTGTGTAATAATAAATGCATGATGGAGGAATAACGCATTTACAATTTAAACTAAAAGATTTTACTCACGTAACGTAAAATCATCAGATAAATATTTTCCTGTTTACACAGAACGGAATTTAATTTTCGCTTATTATTACAGTATTTATTTTTATATTTAATGAGTATCGCCGCTACATAGAGGGAAGGAAAAGGGGGAGTGGCAGAGAGAGACTTTTCATCTTTATAAATTATAGATTCTATATTTTGTTTTAATGTAATTTAATTATATTAAATAGCTTTTCTCTCCCCTTAATTTTCTATTTTTAAATTAAATTGTTTCCGATTTTAACGAAAATAAATTTAAATTCGAAATTAAAAACACAAAAATAAATTCATAATTGAATGTTTAAATGTGGAAAATGCTTTTTAAGTCAAGAAAAGTATAAAATTATCTAATTTTAAAATTAATATAATTTTTTTTTGCTATTTTTAAATTTGTTTAGCGTAAAATTACCCAATTAACTTAAACTTTTTTCGTATTTTTAACGCCGCCATATTGATTTTATTCTTTATTTACGCGAGAATTTATAGTTTTTTTTACGCCATATTTTATTTTGAATTTTATATTTATAGAATATTTCTCTAAAAATTTGTTAATATTTAGGTAAATTATGTTACCTTTTAAAGTTATCGAGTGAAAGGATGATGAAGATGAGGATGAGGATGCTTTCGCTTTCCTTAAACTACTATTTATATTTTATATTAAAGAAAATTGCAGTTTTTTTTTTAAATTAAGAAATGAAGATAAAGATTAGGTTTGATGATAAACTAAAATCTGATGATAAATCATATTATTTTTTAAAATATCCAAATGAAAGGATGAAGCTTTCATTCATTTCTTGACCTAATTTTTATGATTCTAAGTAAAGGAAAGCTAGTAGTTTTTAGTAAAGAAATGATGATAAATACTAAACTCTAATAGTANGCTTATTATTACAGTATTTATTTTTATATTTAATGAGTATCGCCGCTACATAGAGGGAAGGAAAAGGGGGAGTGGCAGAGAGAGACTTTTCATCTTTATAAATTATAGATTCTATATTTTGTTTTAATGTAATTTAATTATATTAAATAGCTTTTCTCTCCCCTTAATTTTCTATTTTTAAATTAAATTGTTTCCGATTTTAACGAAAATAAATTTAAATTCGAAATTAAAAACACAAAAATAAATTCATAATTGAATGTTTAAATGTGGAAAATGCTTTTTAAGTCAAGAAAAGTATAAAATTATCTAATTTTAAAATTAATATAATTTTTTTTTGCTATTTTTAAATTTGTTTAGCGTAAAATTACCCAATTAACTTAAACTTTTTTCGTATTTTTAACGCCGCCATATTGATTTTATTCTTTATTTACGCGAGAATTTATAGTTTTTTTTACGCCATATTTTATTTTGAATTTTATATTTATAGAATATTTCTCTAAAAATTTGTTAATATTTAGGTAAATTATGTTACCTTTTAAAGTTATCGAGTGAAAGGATGATGAAGATGAGGATGAGGATGCTTTCGCTTTCCTTAAACTACTATTTATATTTTATATTAAAGAAAATTGCAGTTTTTTTTTTAAATTAAGAAATGAAGATAAAGATTAGGTTTGATGATAAACTAAAATCTGATGATAAATCATATTATTTTTTAAAATATCCAAATGAAAGGATGAAGCTTTCATTCATTTCTTGACCTAATTTTTATGATTCTAAGTAAAGGAAAGCTAGTAGTTTTTAGTAAAGAAATGATGATAAATACTAAACTCTAATAGTAAATTGATGATGATAAGTTCTTATAATAGTCGAATTTTTAATTAAAGAAAAACTTTAGAACGAATCCAAAGCATCATCTTTTCACTTGACTATTATAAGAACTTATCATCATCAATTTACTATCAGATTTTAGTCTTTATTATCATTTATTTAATTAATTAAATGAATTAATTAAAGATTAAAGAATTACTCAATAATTAATGATGCTAAAGATTAAATTTTGATGATGAACTAAAAGTTTGATGCTAAATTCGTGACAATAATTTGTGTTAATTTAAAAATAATGGAATAATGATGATATTTTCACATCCCTTCTTAACCCACTTTTATGATTTTTCATTTACAAAAGTGCTGTTTGTTTAATAAATAAAGATGATAAAGGTTAAATTTTGATGATGATAATCAGTTTAAGTTATGTAATTTAAAAAAATAATCGAATAAAAGGATGATGATGACGATGCTTTCACTTTCCCTCAAACCATTTTTAAAATACTTTTCATATATGAATGGGGAAAAGTACTGTTTTTTTAATGAATAGATGATGATGATAAAGACTAAATTTTAATAAGTTATTTTAAAGATGATAAAGATCGATGATGCTTCCACTTCTCTTCTTAAAAGTACTTTCTATATCTTGTAATGAAGAAAAATGATGTATTTTTGATAAAGGGAATGATGATAAGTTGTTCTAAAGATGATTAAAGGTCGATAATGCTTCTTAAAACTATTTTCTACGTCTTGTAATAAAGGAAAATAATGTATTTTCGTTGAAGAAATGATGATAAAGACTAAATTTTGATAATAAACTTTATTGATAAAGGACATGACAAGAATTTTAATACTTTTTTTTACAGAAAATTTATCATAAGTTTGATACAAAGAGAAAAGAACAGCTATTGATAAATCCTTTCAAACGAAGGGCAGTGCGAAGACCAATTCCAAGTGGGTCTATAGAAGGCAAAAAATATTTTGTTTTTTATTTGTTTGCATGGTTTTGTGTACATTCGTGATGAGGACACTTGGTGAAGTGACGAAAAAATGTAAAGTTTACTCATTATTTATTTACTTATCTTATATTTATTTATCATCCTTTCCGAGTGCTGGCCAAGAAGCGCATTTAATTATATCTAAAAATTTACTATTCTAAAGAATAAATTAAAGCCAAGTATAAGATTTAATGGTTGAAAAATACTAAAGTAAATTATCCAACTGCATAGCATCATAAATATTATGAAATTAATGGCTGTTGGAAGCGAAAGATCCTTGTCGTTTCTAGACCAGATAACGAAGAAACGTGTGGAAAAATTCACAAATTTTCCTTTTTATTTTTTTTTTTTAGACCTTCTACACCTGGTAATTGGGCTTATAAACAGCGATCCGATCTTAAAAAGTATATGTAAATCACAGAATACAGTCAAACATAGATGCATATATAGTTTATAGAAGCCAATCAATAATTTTGTAAACGTACTCCAGCTAAGTTATAATACGTTTTGTATATACATATAAGTATCTTTATATATATTTTAATCGTACAAAAACGATTTATTTCAATAAAAATTTGTCTGCATAGTCCTGATATAGAACGTATGCTCTAAAATAGAGCGAAACAAAAGCGAATTTCTTTTTACTGTACACTGCATTTAAGAAACCTTTCACATTTAGCACCTTGAACACATACGAGGAAGATATCTTCTTGTTTAATTATTTGGCTTTATAATGCTTTAAATTAAACATTTTTAAATGCTTAATACTGTATAATAAGTGTAAATCTCCATAGTATAATCTGCAATTAGAATATATTTTCAAAGAAAAAATTAATAATAATAATAATAGTGTTTTAAGAGACGATTCGAAGCTTCTCCATCTTTTTTTCTTCCCTATTTAAATTGCTTTAGAGAGTTTCTTAAGTACTTCTTTGCACGATAGAAGGTTATTTTATATTATTATCTACTTTTTCTTTGTTTTCAGATAGATCTTTTTCCTTTCAGACGAAGTTTTTTTCATTTATTATTATTATTTTTTTAAACATGAAACTCGTCGTGTGTCGTTAATGTGCGTAATGTAATGTATTTTGTCTGTCCTGTCACGAAATTTGTTCGCATATGTCGAGATAATGTTTATACTGCTTCAGCACTAAATAAAAAAATTGGAGAAAATAAAGAAAAGGAGAGAGAGAGAGAGAGAGAGATAAAAGTACAAAAAGTTCCCTTTGCTTGGAACAAAATCCCTTTGCAAAGATTTATGAGGTGAAGGCACTGAAGCACTTTCTAATATATATATATATACACATGTAATATATATATATATATTTGTATTTTTTGATGCTGAATTATGATTTTACAAATGCTCATGTTAATAATAAATTAATAACATCTCAAATGAGATTATTAAATATTCGATACATAATTATAGAAAGACATATTAAAGAAGGCTTCTTGTCAATCACAAAAATCCGATTATTTTGTACATTTATCGATTCAACTTGATGTATTTTTTTTTCTTATAAATTTAAATTATTATTTATGATTTTTTTTCTCTTCAATGTATATATATATATATATATATTGTCATAAAAATCTTTCGAGTTAAGTTCAGTAACGTTCTTTTAAGTTATCAGTTATGAGTACTTGCATCTCAGGCACTGTGTTTTTGACCGTTGGAGAATTATTTGCCACAATCGATTCTCTATCCCCCTCTTCCACATCGGATAAAGGTAGAGTTTGAACCATAACAACCGGTGGATCCGTGTTTTCTATTAGCACAGGTGAAAGGTATGAAGGTGAGACCGTAGATGATCCTTCTTGCTGACGTTTCCTGTCGTCACGTCCCTCTCTTGGAGAATTACCACAAAATATTTTGATGAGGCACAGTAAACTTCCAAGCCCAATGAATAACAAACCGACTGATTGAAATGCGGAAGCGTTTGTTCCTACTCCAATAAATACTAAAATAAGTCCAGAACCCATCAGAACAGTCCCTCCGTACACTAAAATACGTAAATTCTTTTTATCACGTCTAAAAAACTCACGAGTTCGTGATCCGTACGATGCTTGAGCTCCCGTGCTGCTAATTGTGCTGAGGCTACCTTGCCTTCCCCCCTTGGTTCCTGCCCTTTGAGATTTACTCTTCTTCCTCTCCCTCCTCACTGCAACTGCTGGCATTGCAGAGATCATATCGAATCTGAAAAGATTTAGTAAAAATAAAATAATATAACTGAATAAAACATAGAAAAAATAAATTGAATTTTAATCTTAATTCCATAAATAATTCATTCTATTAAATATTTTTTTTTTTTGGACGTAGATTTATATCTTTAAAGAAAAAAAAATAGAAAGTTGTTTATGTATAGAGAAGCCAATATTTATACTAGATTTAACATTGATTGAAGTAGTTGCTAATATGTTTAAATTCAATAAATTCGTTTAAAAATAGATTTAGAAAAGCGTTTTTGTTTATATTTTAATTTATAATGGAAACAAAGTTTCATTAATTTATAACGAATTCTACATTTTCCCATTGGACGTGACGATAACTTAGATAAACAGATAAGAAGTTTGAGCCTTAAAATTTCATTTTAGGTGATTAATTACTCTTTCCTCGCTTAGGTGTTAACATGATAATCCTACAGGTAATCAATTTAATATATTAAAAGGGAACCAGAATAAATTTAATCATTAAAAAATTGCGCCGACATCAAAATTGACCTTGAAACTATTCCAAAATTCAAACCCTATTTTATCTGTAACTTGCCAAAAATTCGTAAAGAAGAATCGATAAACAACTCAAGACGTGACCGAGTTTTGATAATATTTGAGTTAAAAAAAAGGAGACAATAACAATAGAAACGATCAGATAAGTTGATATCCTCTTATCTCGAGAGAGAAGTGAAATGAATAAAAAAAGGAGAGATATATTTGCTACATAAGCATTTTTTAAAATACTTTTATTATTAATAATTATCAAAACTTCCTACGGAAGTTATAAAGTATTTATTATACTCACTTTTTAATTAAAGTATATTGAAAATTTATTTTAATTTCTCTACGAGGGAGGGGGAAAAATTATTGAGAAAAATCGCGAGTTCCCCTGTAAATGTCACTTTTCCTCATAGCCAGCGAGCCGAGCAGTGAAGACGAACACAACCACTTGGGAATAATAAGACGACGTTTTAGTCGCGGCACATTTATGAAAATTGCAGGATGCACTCTGAAATTCGAAACTATTCGGATAATTTACTGTAAATGATATTCCATAAATAATTTTTATTATATATTTATTTTTATTTCTATTTTTTTAAAACTAAACTCCATCCAGGAGTTAGAAAAATTATTCAGAAATTACAAGCCAATCGATACGTTTTTCTCCTTCTCTTCGTTAATTTATATTTTAGTAAATTTATTAAATGAAAATAATACTAAAACTTTTGACGTTCTTTCTTATTCTACTTATACATTTTATTATCTTTAACGATAATTAGTAATAAATGAGCAAAACATAAGTTTCTGTTTAGTTTATATTCATTCTCTGTCAAGATAAAAATTAATGGATTGTTGTTAATTAAGTTTTACCTAATGTAGATGTTATCGTTTTAAATTATTTAATTTTATTCTTATTTTATTTCTCAATCGAAATTTAATTGACAAATGACAAATTGAAAGTCTCTTAAACGTAATTTCAACCATCTGCTACCATTAATGATGTTATTTAGAAATCATCTCGTATCCATAAACATTCTGATAGAACTATTAAAGCTAATATTATTTATAAAAAAGGGAATTAAAAATCAATCATTTCTTTAAAAGAATATATAAGAATAATTCAAATATATATATATATATATATATTCTTTAAGTTAATAGTCGATTCTAGAAAGCAGAAATAGTCTCAGCAAGAATTCGACTGAGATGCTCAGTAGGAAATTAATCCTCTATTAACTTCTCCATACTATTTCTGGTGTGCTTTCAGAGTTTGTTAAACAGTCTTCCCGACTTCCTGCATTATTACCTGACATTAAGCAGTTAGAAACTGACTTTATAATGATTTAATCTTTATAATTAAATGCTTTAATTGTAATTATTTTTTTTAAATCATCATTTAGCAAAGGCAGAAATTACTTATCATCATCATCATCTCCTAGTAATTTTTAAATAGATAATTTTAAGATTTTTAAGTTAAAATTCGTTTCAAACTTATACTTTAAATGTTTAATAATATACTCGGATCGATCAGAAAATAATTTAAAAAAAATAATAATACAGTAAAAGTTTGTATGTTTAACGTCTTACATGAGTAAACACGTATACGAAGCATGTATACATGATTAAATTTTTTTTTTATATACGCCTATATTTGAAGTTTAAACAATAAAAAAGAATTATTTTTTATAGGGTAAATATAATTATTTTTAAAATATTTATAATAACGTCAATAATAAATCGTAAAATGTGAGTAATGTTTCTTATATCTACGAACATTATATAGCATCTAATAGTAATATTTTCGCTTACATGATCCTTTTTTTATAGCCTCACTATATAAAATTACAGTATTTAAATCCTTACATCACACCATTCTACCTCTACATTTTACTATATACACATCTTTTGATGAACTTATCAACGTAGATATTTTAGAAAAATACGTCATTTATGAGTAAAATATTCGAATAATTTGATAAAAACATGCTTTTTTTAAGCATTAACAACACTAAATAACAATTCCCTTCGGAAAAATAGTCAAAAAAAATATCAGAAATCTTAACATTCAACAAAAATACATCAGAATATTATAAAAAAATTAATATTTTATTATCTATTTTCTTTAATTATTAATAAAGGTATTAAGTCATGTATGTATATATATATATATATTCTAAAAGCCCCTTTAACTATTTATCATTACTCTATCAAGATTTTCTAACGTCTCTCGCGTGTGATGTTACACAAGAGAGTCATAGAAACATTTTGTTTTACAGGAAATACTCTTCGTGTCATCCACTAAGTACGTTTTTTTTTTATTTGATTTTTTACAAAATTTTCGTTTATTATTAATATTTTTAAGCACGTTAAAAGTCGAACATAAAACTGCAACACCTGTTAACAATCAATAATCGATGCTTGCGTATCCTTCGTGCCTAACACTAGCAGGAGCAAACACTTGTAGCGCGGAATTTACATATAGATGTATCGTTAGTTAAACAAATACGTATATTCTATTCTCTAATAATACTAATTTTGATGGTCAAAATCATGTTGTATGCAGTATAAGTGACGTATGTATAAATTTTAAATGTAACCAGTTTCCTTCTCCTTATCTAGAGATGCTTTCAAAGTGAAACTTTTGCATTAGATAAAATGAATTGATAGATAATATATATATATTTTTTGAATACTTAAGCATTAAATATGTAAAGTTAAGTGCTTTTTTACGATATTAAAAAACTTTTCTATCTAGAAAATTCTTCATTAAACGCTAACTAAGTTAACATCTCCTTCTCCTTCTTCTTCTTCTCTCTCTCTCTCTTCCTCTTTCTGTCTGCTTAATTTTCGCTTCTATCGCATCACGTCACGATACTACGTCAAGTCACGCTATTTATTAGCAAATATACGTGCCAGACTGAGAGAAAAATGTTCTACATTTACCTTATCCCTTAAAGGTTATAGCGCTTTTATATTGACTTTCTAGTGCGCATTATAGTAGATAAAAGGGAGAAAATCCGTTTTTCTAATCGTCTTTCGTGTGTAAAACACCTTTTCTCTGTTAAAATATAAAGGAAGGAAGCTTATAGATCGATTAAGTACAATCACTGGCCTATGGGCCGGTTATTATTCAAGATTTCGACCTATTTATCTATCGAAGAAAGGAGACACTTTCAGCGCTCCTATTCGCATCAACCAGCGTGTTTAATTAATAAAAGCGCGGATATATCGGTCCGTAGAGGTATAAATTTGGTATTTTTATGAATAAATCGACGAAATTTTGGCAATTTTATTATATTTTTTCATCCAGAAAGCCACGTAACTCGATTGAAACAAACACTTTCTGTAATGGAAACACGTTAGCCATGTTACCGCATTATCTGTTTTCATTCAATCTACCAGCAGATACAATGTTTATACACTGATTTAACCTAATTTTTTTCCATATAAACAACGAATTTATTTCATTCTCATCAAGAAAATGGCATCCTCTTCATATATTTATCTTTATGTTTGTTAATAATAATTTCCATAAAATCGATCGGATTAGAACGTAAAAAAATATTTAAAAAAATACGCATTTAAGCCCCGAAAACTTCTCACAAATTTAAATTTAATTAATTAATTTACTTCTATGGCTCTTAAATATATTTTTCGGGGCGAATTTCGGTGTTTTCTGGTGTGTTTTCGCTCGCTCGAAAGAGTTTTTTTGGGGGGAAATCGAAGGAAATTAACGAGGAAAGGGGGATTTTCAATTGGAAAAACGTATCGGCGAGGGGATGCGTTTGAAAAACATTTAAATAAATAAATAAATGATTGATAAACATTAATATAAATATATTTATCTAACGTTACGTTAACTTATGCGCTTGTTTTTTACTTTATTATACGCGCCTACGCGTTAATTATAGAGAAAATTAACGCTTACCTGTTACGTTATTGATGTTTGCACATGATTCAAGTAGTCTTTCTCGCAGCTTCTCTCTCCCTTTCTCTCTCCCAATTCGTCTCTCTGTCATTTATCCTTCTCTCCCCTTTCCCGTTTTGGTACCGATCCCGTTACCTTAGTTACCGAATCACCTTGTGACATTTTCCTAGTTACGCCCTCTGCTGGGACCATTTTATAACTTTATAAAAATATATTATTATTATTTTTTTTTGTTTTTAATTTTAAATGTTGTTTTTTTTTAAATTAATTCCATTTTGTTTAATTAAGTAATTAATTTATAATGAAAAATATTAATTAAGTTTGTAAGATTTTTAAAAGTTTTTTTTTTTTTTAATATTTAAATTAAAGTTTATTGTTTAGTTAAATTTTATTATAATTTATTTATATGTGTGTTATATATTTAAAAGATTGTAAAATAGTCTATTATTTAATTTTTTTTAATGAAAATAATATTTTAAAAGTTTTTCTTAAATGAAAAAAAAATAATATATTAGAGTCGCCATCTGTTGAGATCGTTTGAAATTAATTTCTTTTGCTGACGATTATACATAGATGGCGCTATTATAAATTTTCCTTTCGCGACGAACAGAAGATAAATATAAATAATATTTTTTTTTAAATTAAAAATAAATAAATCAAATTAAAAACGTTTAATTTTATATATTCAAATGAAATATTAAATTAATGCAATGTGGAATTATCAAAACGAAAAGCCGCCAGTGGGCGTGATCGGTAATTTCAAAAACGATTTTGATTAACTTGTAAGATGTTAAGAACGAAATTATTTATACAGTAAATAAAAAAAAAATACAATAAAAATTAAAAAAAGTTTATGCTAATTATTAATTAGCATCTTTGTTGTACAATCACGTCGCGTCGCTTCGTGGCGCGTCAAATTCCGAATTGTTAATATCGCAGCGTAAAATAGTAATCTTTTACTCTGTGTTTTAGTATTGTGTCGCAACGTGTCATTGTCTTTTCCAGTTTTTAATGGATAGTTGTGTGTTGAGCATTCGAATAGCGGCCATTTAAATTTACAATAGAGAGTATCGCGTCGCATCGCTTCGCAGCGCATCCGATTCCGAATTGTTAGTATCGCAGCGTAAAATACTAACCACAAGAGTTGTATCACCTCGCGTTGCATCGGGTCCTTGCATTTTCCAATTCTTAATGAATAGTATTGTTTCGCATCGAGTCGCGGCCGTTCAGTTTACAGTAGAGAGTATCGCGTTTCATCGCGTCGCATTTATATCCTTGTTTTTCCAATTAAATATACATTTAAATAAATGAAAGTCTGTATTTTTGCTGTTTAATCGAGTCGCGTTACGTTTCATATCGATTGGTTTAAAATTAACAAATTAATTGTTAGTTTTTTTAGTGAATTTCTTGTAACTGTTCTTATTAAACTCCTCTCAAATTAGTTGCGAAACTTTCCCGGCCAAAATTTAAAGTTGAGTGCGGCGCCATCTGTTACGAGATTTTATTTTAAAAACTTTTTATATTATTAATTATTACAAAATGGCAAAAATTTTTGATATACAGGTTGAGGTTTTATACGATCCCCATTCGAGATACGACACGTAACCCCCCTCTATCTCCCCACTCCTTCGACCTTTAACCTCCAAAATTTAGTAGCATCAATTTCACTAATACTCAAACTTCCCTGAAAACTTTCAGGAATTTTGGATAAAAGGCACGGGGGTTATTAAGCTTCAAAGTGAGTGAAGAAAATTGTTTTCCCCCCACATACACAGAAATAAATCCAACTTTTTTTGCATTTCTCGACGTTTCAAGGTGCCCCGAGTCCAAAAATATAAAAATCTTGGGTTGTCATATCTTGACCGATCGCCATACTTTCTCTCAATTACATAAAGTAACCGGGAAAGTAATATTTAATAATTGAATTTAATAATCATCACTATCAGTGGCATAAAATTAAGCTTTTATGCTTGGTTTTTAAGCATGTTGTTTTTCACCCATCATCATTATCATATGCTTTATCTTATGATGATGATGATGATGAACAAGGAATGTTGCATTGTTCAGGTAGTGAAGATATGATTGAAAGCTAAGCACAAAAGCTTAACTCTTATACAGTACTTCTTGTTTATCATCATTACTATATCATCATATGCTAAGCTGATGATGATGATGAACGAGAAATAAAGCGCTGTTAAGAGAGGAGCGAATGAATACAAGATTGAAAGATGCTCAAATTCATGTTTAACTTCTATATTTCTCGTTTATCATTATTACCGTATCAAACCAAGCAGTAGGGAAGAATGTACTAAAAAGACTCGAAAATTATTGAAAAATATTACATTTTTGCCAGAATTTCTCATAATTTTACATTACCTTTTATGATCAAATAAAAAAAAAGTTTTTAAGGATTATTTTTTTTTGTAAAATAACTCAATAAAAATCTGTTTTACGTGTATTCTCTACAACATATATATTTCTTCTTCTTAAAATAGCCTTTATTCTTTTAATAAGGCTTTTTACTCGAGTGTAATATAACGTGACAATACGTCAGAATTGGTGACACGTGAGTTATGATTTGTCTCATGAGATTTAAAAGAAAACTTTTAAATAATTTGATCGAATTTATTGATATGTATAAATATAGAAAACACAATTTTTATACTCGTAAAGTAAATGATAATTTTTATATATTAAATCTACAATGAGATGAAATATGCTATAAACCTGTTAAGTGAATTTATCAATAAATTTTGTATATACAACATGTTGCTAAGCAACTATAACCTATACAATAAAATAAAGCTACTTTTTTTTATATATTTTTATTATTATTATTTTATTATTTTTTTTT